CCCCAAAACCCCAAAACCCCAAAACCCCAAAACCCCAAAACCCCTTATTTCTATTATTAAATTGGGCTCATTAATATTTAAGCTTGCGTCTTCTAGTGTACCGCTCCTTCTGCTCAACTTCGTATGTCTCCTCGATGACTTCTTCCTTGTCATTATTGATCTCGTTGAACCTCCTTTTTCTCTTGAAGGAGTACTCGTTCTTGTGTTCACATTCAAACTGATCGGCAAACTCGTTCATTTGTTCCTTGAAGTCTATCTTGGGCATTTTGAAATTTTTGTCAACTTTGTTTAAGAGTTTAGTCTCCTGACGGGGGATCTGAGAAATTGACCTTTTGTACACCTTTTTAGACTAGAATTTGTAAAGAGGGGCCTTACTTCTTGATGAGTGATAGTCTCTTTTTCAAACATGTTGACCATTTTCTCTTTCCTCTTGACTACAGCTTGGTGCTTCATAAATGGAGAAGGCTTATTTTCCAGAAGACTTTGTTAAATTTTGAAGAGTTATTGAATTCTTTGAGTCTGGAGAATCATCAGAAGATTTGCTATCCTCAGACTCATCAAAATCAATAGCCAGGTCGTCATCGTTCTTTTTGATGCCTTCCTTTTCCTCTTCTTGAGAGAGTTTACCATCAATTAGAGTTTTTGTAGGAGTATGTTGCTTAGTAATTCGTTCAAACCCGACTGCCAATCCGTCAATATTTTGACGTATTTTCAGTAAATCTTCAGTGAAAGAGGTAATTCCTTGGTCTACTTTTCTTTGAGACTCTGTAATCTCCTGCTCAAAATCTTCAAAGACTTCGCCTTCACGCCCATCTTGGTTCCTAAGATAAGCTCTTGTAATTATTGAGCCTGTAGGCAGAGCTCTGAGAAGATTAAGAGTATCAGATGTTCGCTGGTATTCATCTTCTACTGTAATAACTTCACTTTTATTTATCATTAAGCTCTTTTACCCACTTGGGCAACTTCTCGAAATTCTGAAGGCAGTTTTCAATATGGAGATTTCTAAATTCAGAGACATTTCCTTTCCAAGTGCACCCCTGATTGCGGCAGCTTCAAGGAAGCTGTCAGATAATATCTTCAGCATCACTGTCAAGCCTGAGATTATTAGTAGTAACTTTTCCTCTACACATTGGGCATTTATTTATCCTTTAATATCGACCGCCATCAAATTAGGCAACAAGAATGCCCACAAGTCGTTGATTTCATTGGGTAAAGAGACACCTCTGTGCAAATCGGGCAAGTTACACCTAGATCTTCGTCAGCAACAACCAGTCATCGCCTGAAGAGTTATAAACATTGGGACTTACTTCCATTGTTCAATTACTCTCTGAGTTCTTTCTTCTTCTTCCCGTATTCTTTGTTCCATGGCCTTACCTAAATTCAGCAAATTTAGAAAATCATGCACTTTAGTGCGAAAATTTGTTTGCGCAAACCCGAAATTTATCAAGGAAGTCCTAAGAACCCTTTGAAGCAGGGACAATAGAGGCTCCGGGCACTCAGCAAATCTCGGTTAACAGCAGGATTAACACTTACCATATTTTCTTGGGGTTCTTCCTCTCCCTCTTCTACCAGACATCTTTAAAAATTGTGCAAAAATATTAAGTATTATTGCCAATCTAATTAAACCTCAAAGGGGTTTTGGGGTTTTGGGGTTTTGGGGTTTTGGGGTTTTGGGG